CTACAGCGTGACTGGCGGGTGAAAACAAGGGACTAGCTGCTGTGTCGGTGACGACGGCGTTTGGTACTGCTTGCGCCGTAAGTGGCGATGAAACAGCAGCGACATGCGGGCACATTGGCGCCAATGAGGGCGATACCTTGACCGCGTCCGGAACCAATCGCCGTCGGCCGTGACGATCATGCGACCAGAGGTCATAGGCCCATGGGTGGACAGTAATTACGAAACTACACACCTTGATGACAGCTGCGACCATCGAGGAAACAAACGAGGCAACCAGTCACGCCAGGTTCAGTTTACTTGCAATCGCCGCAACCAGAGCGGCCCCTTTGCCACTACCGTCGGAAGACTGCATCAGATGAAACTGCAACAAGAATACGGTTAGCGACGAGGAGAAAGGTGAAGAAGTGAAAGGGGGCATGCTGCTGCGTACCTCGATATTTGGATCCACTAACTCGCGAACCTTGTCCTTCACCCACGCATGAAAGAACGGATGAAACTTGTAGGTAGACCCATCGATTCCAACGATCACTTTCTTCTTGCCAATTCTGTTAAGCACACAGGCAATGCCTAAATCAAACTAACCAACTAGACCGACTGACTGACAACTAATAAACAAAGTTAACTATTACAGACTATATTGCACTCATGAATCTGGAGTCTACAATTTGAGGCAGCATTTAAATGAGTTCAATGATATACAAAATCATACGATAACTGTTCATTAGACATTTCAACTGAAAGCGAAGAGCAACCATCGAACAGAAAGCATACATATGCGTCTTAGTGCAAACCGCTGTTTCAGACAGTGGCTTACACAAAGAATGTTAGTCTGGTAAAAATCACGCAACAGAAAAACAGGGTTACACTGTGCTGATCATTAACCTGGACAGTGCGGAGTGCATCCACAATGGGCAATTGCATCAAAAAAACAACCGTACCTCTCGCCCCTTCTGGTATGACCGCGCCAGAACATCGTGCTGTCCATGTTGTTCGCAAGTCAGCGACTTCGCCATTTCTTGACTGGTTTCACCAAAGCAAAAACCCGGGACAATTTCCGTGCTCAAGGGAATTCACGGTTAAGAGAGAAATTACATCTCGCACCTCTGACATACGAAATCGCCTTCAGCACATTGAAGCCGCGATAAAAATCACGTTAATTGGATATAACGGTGGTGACTGTGGCCCGGAGAGTACATGCATATGAACAGATCTTCACATCCTCAATCTCGTTTCATCACCTCTCCTCGAAATATGCGGTACTGGTTGAGGTCCTCGGTGAGCAGTGAATGATAATGTTGTGGTGTAGATGTTCCAGCAACAGCGGTCTGACAAACTGATGTATTTTACGGATTTCAAATTATGAAGAAACCGCGTGGAATCAAGTCGTCATTCTATCCGTACTTTTGACAAGTGGTAGCAAAAGTACTTAAGCATTGAAAATTTGTCTGCCTGCCTATGAGGCGTTTGCGTTTTCAAAGACCATCCGCTGCCTCTAAGATTGAAATAAGGACAGTAAGAGTCCTGAAGGTCTAGTCCTGTCACCCCTTCACTAAAAATGAAGACATACTTCGGGCGATGGAAAGAGTTCTCTAAGGAACTATTTAACCCTGAGCAATCGCACCAATACTGAAGAGCGGTAGGCTATGGATATTACTTTTTTAGTGGATGAAGTCACTGAAGCTACAAAGAGATAAGGCTGATAGAAGAAATAAAATCTTCCACGAAATACTTAAAGCATTACACGAATAAAACATTTTATATTTAATACGTGTGTCTGAAACGGCACTGGATACGGGAAGACACTACAGGATAAGAGAATGGAATTGTAGCCCCCTGTTTAAAAAAGACAACAGGAAGTGCTCCAAGTATTACGTTACTTCCAGGAAATCACCAGCAATGGTGTAAGAAAGGATGTGCCGTGAAATACCTGATTTTAGACGCAAAGAGAACAGTGTGGCTTCAGGTCAGGTCGAAACACCTCAAATCAGATCTTCGCCTTAATCCGGCCTTTTGAGAAATCATGGCAGTTCGTTCCTCTGGTTTACCAGTGCATTGTGGACCTAAAGAAAACCTATGTCAGGATGCCGCGCAACAATCTATGGACATATGGGATCAATGGCCAGTTGCTACGGCCATTCAAACTATATGTTGATAGCAGGTGCTGCATCAGTGTAAACGACATTAAGTCGAAACCCTTTAACGTTGGCACTGGTCCCCGCCAAGGCTGCGCCTTCTTCACGGATAGAAGAAAAGAGGCTCAGCCAGGGTGACGAGTGTATCAGTATGGGTGATGCCAAGAAGAAAAGGCTGCTATTTGCAGACGACCTTGTTTTGTTGGAATTTTCTGAAACTGCGCTTTCTGGAAAGGATCGCAGCCGAATGCGACGTAGCCGGCATGCCTGTGATCGTATTTAAAGCAAAAAGCTTAGTGCTCTCTAGTTCTCCTGCCCGTTGCTCTCTTCAGATTAACCGAGAGACAGCGGAGCAGGACCTCGGAACTGTATTTACTAGTGATGGAAAATTTGAGGAAGAGATTGACCGGCGGGCGGAATGGAGTAGCGCCTTGCGTTATATGTGATGTAGCCCAAACTGTTGTGACTAAAGCAGAACTGAGTCAGAAGACAAAGTTCTCGGTGTTCAAGTCTATCTTCATCATCATGCTTACCCACGGTTATGAGTCGTGGACTATGACTGAGAATCTTAAATCCCCGGTGTAAATGGCGTAAGTGAACTTTCTGAGACCAGTCGCGTTTCGAATGGTCCGGAATATCGACATATGCGAGAGCCTTGGTGTACAGCCATTGATTCTTCAGATTTAAAAGTCAGTCTTGTGAATCCTTTCAGAAAGAAAGACGAAGCAACTACTATTTATCCAATCAACCGCCAGAAGACGTCGAAAACTGACAAGATTAATTTTTGGAGCGAGAATACCGAAGAACGCTGTTCAGATCTCCGGATGTCTTCTACCGAAACTCAGAACGCTGGCACAGGATTGGAAACGCTGAAAACACTGTCTGATGCATCTGGTTCTGCCAACCAAAAAGGATAAGTAAGAGGTAATCGAAACCGAATGACTAGTTTACCAGCCAAAATATTTGTTTTACTAGGTATTGTAATTAAAACAGCTGATGAATCAAGTTCTGAGTTTTTTCAATTTCAGGAAACGAATATCACGTAAAACTCTACCTCCTCATTACAACTCGAAACTCGAACTTTCTTCTAAAGACAAAAGAGTACCTTCGAGGACTTAACCAGCTTCTCCAATAAGCGCACACATTCGAATACATACCTGCTGCACACAGATTGGCGGATCTTCGAGAAACCGTCATGCAGACTTCTCGCAGGATGAGCAGGTCGCTGTATCGGTAGCCATCGATACCCAGGTCGTCTAGAATCATCCTAGTTTGATGAAGATGACCACCTTCATCGCTGAAAGCCAAAAAAACAATACAAATACAATAAAAACTAAAGCACTAAGTAGATGAAATAAAGTTGACAATTACACAACAATGTATCTCATGTTTCTTTCAAATATGAGAATGGGCTATATATGCTTATGCTAATTACTAAAAACCCATTATTAATGAGTTCAGATTTAATAACGACTGGCTGCCTATCGAAGAGTAGCATAACACAAATCAAAACAGTATACATTAACGTTGTTTTACCAATTTCGTTTTTAATATTCGTGAAAAAGATTTATATGAACAGGTTTAAGGGTAGATAAAGTCGAGCATAATGTTTAGCTTAACGGTGTATCAGCTGAGATCCCATATCGATCATACGTATCGCATAAATAACAAAATTTGATCATGCGCCACAGCAAAAGATATAACGCACAACTCATCCAAGACCAAAAATCACGGCATATTGGGCCGCTTACTGACCCTAGTTGCCTCAAGTGAGAAAAGGGAGCCTTTAAACAAGCCAGGTCTGGATGGTAATTGAGAACCTGCAGGGCCTGATGCATCTCGTCATTTTTCTTCACCAGGGTTATCTGACATACTTTGAAGTACAAACATACTTTGATGTTTAGGCAGTAGCATGTAAGGAGTAAGAGCACCTGAAGCATCGAAATGATGCAAGACGCATCTGGCAATGCACGCTTTAAAACATCATGAATCCGTAACCTGCTTTAATCAAGCAATCAGGCAACTGCGAGCAAGGAGAGGCGCACAACGCCGCGAAATCTGGTCACTGAGTTATGCAAAATCATTTTTGTGCTGGATATTAGACTTTAATGAACAGCAGATAATTCTGTCCTCGACACTGCGAGCAAACAACCGGTAGCGCATCAGAATCAGAGACAGAATGTATTTTATCCACCATTAGGGCTTGTCAAGAAACTTTGAAAATTCAACGATTAACGAGAACCGTAACAAACCCAAACTTAACAGGCGTTCGGTGTGATAAGAGCAGTGAAGTTGAAATCAAGCTTTCTTGACATCTCTTCCGTCTCTCAAGCAACTGCTAAAGTTATCTACTTTTAAAATGTCATCTTCTGAATTTACTGAGAGAAAAACTGAATATTATGAAAGATAAACAGCATGTTAAGGTGTGCCACTCGTGCTGTGGATAATTCATGACAATGACACAGCCAGTGAAGAACGTATATCCAACAGGAGTTCCTGACTATAAATATATACAGATGCAACGCAACATCCTACGCGAATCGTCCCAATAGCAGTTTCCATGTTTTCATGCCCTGTCCTGCCTTGAACTCATTGCTGTTTGTGGTTCGAGCAGATCTCGACCAGCAACTGTCACTTCATTCTATGCGCAAGGGAAGAACTTGACAGCCACCGAAAACGTTTTTCAATAAACTCAAACTTTCTGATATGCACCCTAATGCAACCCAGCAAATGTCATCTCATTTCCTTCCGATTCCATTCCTTGCCAATGTATTATGCAACTGAAGCCACTTCACAGACTATCTGCTTATCAATTATCTTAAAGTTTCCGCAGTGTACTTTGACCCGGTAGAGCAAATGTCACTTGGATCGTTCTCAATTTCCTGTCTGAAAGCATTTCCAGAGCTCAAACACGCCAGCTATCTTCTTCGCTTCTCAACCATCTGAAAAGCATACAAATGAACTCAAACTAATTATCTGATACAGTAAGTATCAACTTCTAATTAAAGAAGCTTACACCTCTGAGAAACCTTCATACAATGTCTGCATTAAAATTACCTAAATATTTCATGAAAGGTATTCAGACCTGATCCAGTAACTGTCAGGGCCTACCTTATCCATTAAATCGACTGTCACAAAGAAGTGACTTCACACTGAGAATTTCTCAAAAGTACTCTAATCTTGCCTAGTAAATATAACACCATGTCAACCCCTCTTTAATAGCACGTATATGCACAATATTTACTTTAAAATGTACAAACCTCATAGTTGACTAGTCAGTAGAAACATTGTTAGACAGGTGATTAAACTTGTAATATCAGGGTGCATTTTAGAAATTTTCAAAAGTTAACGTAACCTGCGAATATTTCTCGTTTCTTAATTACCTCAAAGGTTCTCAAATGTACAGTGATGTGCTGCGAGTCATTCGCATCCAACGAAATTTGTCCTGACCTCTCAACAACTTGAGAATTTGTGCAACATAGTCTGGACTCATCGATTAAAAGTCACCGCATATCACCTTCATCAAAAAGATCTAAAACAATTAGCTTGTCAACTACTTCAGAATTTTTAGAATGTCTGCCGAAACGATCAGCAACTTTCATCGCATGTCTAAAAACTCATACGCGTAAAAACGTGACAGACTGCCTAAAATCTCAATTACTCCAGCAGCCCTCAACTACGCCATGTTACATGATCCAATTATTCGTCAAAACAAGCAAAAATCGTCAAAAAACAATTCACTTCGTAATCACCTGAGAATTTCTGAAATGTACTTCGCTGGAAAGCTACCAATCGTAAAAAGCTGACTTGAGCCCACACCTTGGAACAATAAACCAGATTTGACAAGCTTCTCGATCACCAATCGCACCAATTCTCCCAAATACATTCCGCCAACAAGTTTGTCGAATCTAAACTCATATTCATCGTCAGAGTCACTGATGAGCAAACTTTTTGCTGATTAAAAAAAATTAAACCTCACATTTGCACCCCAGGGTGAACGGACCGTTGATCGATGATGACGTCATATTGCGTTTTTATAAATTCCACTTCGCCACGATCACCGAAGCCACCCCATTCCGTATCGATGATCATCTGCAATTTAGCCAGTGCTACAGCAATTTATCGACATCAATCTACGTTACCTTTTCAAACGGATATTTAATGCCATCGAGCTTCTTTATCGCACGAACATCTTCCATGTAAGAGGCGTTCGTTCCAGTTGCTAAAGTCGTTACGGATTTAGTTTAAACAAAAAATTACCTACATTATTTAATAAAAATATATTTTGGAAACAATAACCGTAAACACTGGCAAACTACTTCAACTCCACTGTTGAATGATGTCATGTTAAAACTATACTGCATTATAAAATTTACTGAAAACCATAAAATGTCACGATAAAACACGGTTCATTTATAAACAACCCAAACAATTTGGTTGGCCGGATGACTAGCACCGACGTTCTGCCCGTGTCTCATAGGCCTTATTCAAGGGAGAGAGTTGGACTCCTTTCGGGAGTTCTGTGTCAGAAATTCTAACCTTTGAAACCGGAAGGACAGCTTTTGGTCCGTACTGTCGGTTATATGGCTTCTAAGCAACCGAGCGACAAGGATCGTGCAATCCATGCGGAACCCATTAATCAGCCTCATGGACGAAAAGCTCCTCTTCAGGACCCAAACGTAGGAACAGTCGCGAAAGCCACAAATTTACTTCCAAAGCCGAGCCACTTTCACGAGATACATATATAAAGAGAGAGTATTCATTGTGCATTTGTGGACATAATGAAAATAGTGTCAAACTCGCTTTACTTGTACAAAACGCAAAAGACACTGTGGTCATACCAGTGACTGATCAATATCGACGTTACGGCCCCTATCTCACGGGCCTTCTTCATGACAGGTTTGTGATGAAGTTTCGTGAATACGGTTGGCTGTCATCAGCAGCCGATAGTTTCATAGCTAGAAGGCAAACGTTCGGTCTGAGCTGCTGATTGCAACCTGTCGCTCACACTCGTCCATCATCATCCATCTTCTTCAGCTTGACAGATGAGTGTTT